AGAGGCCTCATAGCAACAAGGCCTCTTGGCCATAGCAACCGCCTTTGCTGGAATTGTATTGTAATGTGTCTGGGGTTGTTCATGACTGACAGCATTGGTTACTTGCCAATGCGGACCACGTGGTCTGTATCTCCCTTGTCCTGTCCTCCTTGGACTCTTCCTGTATGTGAGATTTGACATTCTTGTATACTATCAGCTAGGGGCACGAGACGCAGCAACAGGTGCTTTCAGCGACAGCTCACTTCACCAGGCAAATCATTGAGGGCAGCATTCACACACGCATACGCACACGCACAACACACACTCACAGTCACACACACACACACACACATACAGTCAGTCACACACACACACAAATCTCGCGCAAGAGAGAGAGAGAGAGAGAGAGAGAGAGAGAGAGAGAGAGAGAGAGAGAGAGAGAGAGAGAGAGAGAGAGAGAGACAAGGGGCTGTAACAGACTGTTTCGTCAGAGTTTCACCGTCTCATCATACACAAAATTGTCACAAACACCTATTTTTATTTTTCTTCCTATTTGGACCATTTCTCGATTTATGCAACTCGTCCTTGCGCAGAGCCGATGCTAATCTTGTCAGTATTGTTCCAATTGCATCGCTTTCTTCATGTTCTTTTTTTTTTTTTTTTTTTTTCCCTTTCTTTTCTTTGCCTGACAACTGACAGAAAACTTGAAAAAAGTTAAAAGGGAAACACAGCAACAAACAACTTGAAAGGACTCGTCCCACCGGCTCTTTTCTGGCCACGCGATCAGCGGCTCGAAACTGGACCCCACAGTTTTGACTCAGTAGACCCATATAACTCAACATCCAAGACCCATATAACTCAACATCCAAGGTGATGCAACCCTTATAACTCAATAGAAGAGTACTTGGGCGACAATGCAAACTTCCTTGCTATAAATTAACAACTCAGTTGATTTCTGTCCTCCCCCCTTCCCCCCCCCCAACCCCTCTCTCTCCAGGCTTCCCCACGCTCACCTCCCGTAGTCTACAACCAATCACACCCACTTCCCCACCCTCTATTTCCCCCCTCCCGCATCTTCAAGGAAAACCCTCCTCCTCTCTCTCTCTCTCTCTCTCTCTCTCTCTCTCACACACTTTTTATTAGTGGAGTTTCCCATAACCTCTGCGCTCTGACCATCTCTATGGCCCCTTATCACCGTGCAACAACAACTCCCCAACACACTCACACACACACACACACACACACACACACACACACACACACACACACACACACACACACAGCAGCCATTCTAGTGCGTAAAGCACTCTAGACCCCACCATTTGCAATGCTCACCAAGGTAGGAAATGGTTGAGACTTCAATTCGCAAGTTCTCGTGCTGTCATACTCACGTCGGTGCCTATAACTGCACAGAGTTACAGCACCCGGATTACAATGCGAAGACGAACTTGCAGACCTAATTGGTGATCACCTAGCGTATCTGTGTGCGCTGCTGCACGTTTAAAAAAATAAACCCATTAGGCTATGAATATATTACCTATTTGTCTGCACCTTTAAAAAGCCGACGCACAAGAGTATCTGACCCTTGACGGAGAAAAACAAAAACCGGACCCTTGCGTCGCACGCACAATAGTATTCAAGGGCAAACTGTAACCAAAGGCGAATATAATAGCGAACAACGACTGTTAATGAGCGAGAACAAAAACATAAATTACATAACAAAAACATAAAATTATGTTGATAACTCGATAATATATTACCCTCCCCCTCCCCTACCTGCGTCCCATTGCAGCTCCAATCACCACCTGCTTGCTACCTTTCCCGACGAATTCTCCCCTGACACCTCCCTCCCAACTGCAGCTTCTCCCTTGATGTACTGATCGGACCCGTCGTCAAGCAACTGCGCGCTCTCTCCTCTTCTACCAACCTCCGCCCCCAAATGCATTCTCCCCTGACCTGGTTCTGAAATATTGGCACAGACAAGAAACTGCATGCTCTCCCAAATCCCAAATGCATTTTATGATTTACAGTGATAGCATTTGGGCAATAAAAGCTGGCTGCTGCTCCGCACCCAAGCTGGAATTTGTCGCGTAAACATGGCGGTAATCATATTATGAAATGAATAATAATATCAAATAGATAATAATATCATAATATATATTATTAGTACTAATTAGTAATTACTAGTAAACTTGATATCACTTATGATGATGAAGAACTATTATCAACCCTCGATTCCTTCGGAGGGGAGAACGTTTTTTTTTTTTCAAATTTATTCTTCCAGCAACAAATAACAGCTGAGAAGTTAGAACTTAGAACAATGAAAAAAAATGTCCGCAAGACTGTTAAAAAAAACAGATCGAAAAAAGGAAAAAAAAAAAAAAAAAAAATCAATCCTACTGCAGCTCTTTGCATTGTAATTGCAACAGAGCAGTTATTATTTCTTCTAAATTTTTACAGCAGTTTACAAATACCCACATAAGGAGTAGCAGTTTACAAATATGCCCCCGCCCTCCAACATACCCCTCTAACAGAGAAAAAAAAGAAGAAGATAACAGAGCCATGGAACTGACATGATAGAAGCTGAAGAAGAAAAGAAAGGGAACTCGAAACAATTTGAAGAAAGAAGAAAGAAGAAAGAAGAAAGAAGAAAGAAGAAAGAAGAAAGAAAGAGATCCTTGCAGTCAGCTTGCAGGCTTCGCAGCAGAGATGTCTTAAAGATGTCTCCACCCCCAAACATACCCCTCTAAATCAACGCACAGCACAGCGGCGATTCACAGACATGAACCACACTGTATGGAGGGAACGAGGGTCCTACGATGCGATCGAGTCAGAGATGTGCAATTTTCAAAGCTGCATAATATAAAATTGATCAGTTCGCAACTTCGCAACGAGCTAAAGAAAATGGAATTGCAGAGAAGGAAAAAGAAGAAAATGGGCGCAAAGAGAAACCAGGTGACATTCTCAGTGGGATGAATACCTGTGCTCGAAGGTATAAATCTGATAGCGACAACAGAACGCAAAGCAGAAGCAAATGCAAAAACAGCAGCACAAGAAACAGTAGCAGAAGAGCAGCAGCTTCACAACAAAATGCCAAGGCAGCAACAGCCGCATTGGCCGCCATACACAGAGTAAGAGACAGAAGCAGCAGCACGAGTAGCCGTAGCAGACGGAGAAGGGCGTGAGGAGGTCTCGGAGGGAGGAGGGGATTCCAAGTAGGAGGAAACAAGGGGAAGAGAGGGAGGATGCTGTAGTAGCAGAGCTTTAGCAGCAGAAGGGGAGGTGGAGGGTTAGGAGGAATGAAGGGACTACAAGTAGCTATAGCAGTAGTAGTAGTCGTAGTCGTAGTCGTAGTCGTAGTCGTCGTCGTAGTAATAGTAGTAGTAGTAGTAGTAGTAGTAGTAGTAGTAGTAGTAGGAGGAGGAGGAGGAGGAGGAGGAGGAGGAGGAGGAGAAAGGGGAGTAGCTGTAGCAGCAGGAGATGAGGATGAGGACGACTTGTAGTGGGAGGAGAAGAAGGGGATGTGGAGGAGGAGGAGGAGGAGGAGAAAGGGGAGGGGGAAAGGGGAGTAGCTGTAGCAGCAGGAGATGAGGATGAGGACGACTAGGAGTTGTAGTGGGAGAAAAAGAAGGGGATGCGGAGGAGGAGGAGGAGGAGGAGGAGGAGGAGGAAGAGGAGGGGACAACAAAGGGTAGAAGAAGAAGAAACTAAGAGGATTAGAGGTACGAAGGAATATGGGTAGGAAGAAGTAGGCAACAAAGTATGGATATGATTGTCTATGCGAAGGCACTACTCCTTATGTCATTGGCGACAGAGGTGGTTGTAACAATACAGAAGGAGAAACACCCATCTCTTTCGAACGCTTCCTTTTCCAGTAGGAGAGCCCATTTCTTCCAAAACCCAACCAGCTATTCCTAGTTTCAACTTTCGACCTCCGTGAATTAAACAGGAAGGGTCCATCACAGACTATACTATAATTTATAAGCCACTGAAGCACTGAAACACCACTCCTCCACGCCTCGCTCCAATCCTCCCTACACACAACGGTTCATACCCCGTAAGGTACATTACCCATTCTAATCCCTACATAATGAATGATTATCAATTTCTCCCTAATCAACTTCTACAATACCAAGAAAACCATCTCAACCTTTAGGTCCTTTACAGAACTACAAGTTTTGCAACTCTCTGGGAACCCCTATCCCTAATCTGCTCTTTAATGAGTCTGGCTGCCAGTCAGAAAATAATGCAGACTTGCGGAATTTAAGGACACGGCCGACAATATGCGTTTCCTTATTACACTCAGCAAACGAAATACCGTCGAAGGTATGATTAAAAACAAAGGGAGAAAACAAAGACGAAAACCAATCGCACGAGCATAAACACGGTGATTCCATAAGACTTGCTCTACCTACCTGTCTCTCGTTCTGTCTGTCGGTCCTGTGTAAGTGCCATATCCCCTAACCTCCTCCCCTTCCCTCTTGTCACTTGTCGCCTAAGCACCCTCACGGCTATCCTCTGCCTTTCATACCCTAACCCCCCCTCC